CCTTGACCATTGTGTTCTATCACCTCTATGGCTGGGGGTTTTTGGAGCATGCCTACCTCTACCACCTGACCAGGAGGGATATCCGCCACAACTTCTCTCCCTATTTCTACATGTTGTACTTAACTGCAGAGAGCAAATGGAGTTTTGCACTTGGGCTCGCAGCTTTTCTCCCCCAGCTGCTTTTGCTCCCGATTGTGTCCCTAGCATTTTACAGAGACCTTGCCTTCTGTTGTTTCCTACACACCGCTATTTTTGTGAGTTTTAACAAAGTGTGCACATCCCAATACTTTGTCTGGTATCTCTGCCTTTTGCCCCTCATAGTGCCTAGAGTTAAGATGTCCTGGTGTCGTGCTGTGCTGCTTCTTTTACTGTGGTTTGTTGGACAAGGCCTGTGGCTCGCTCCTGCGTACTTTCTGGAATTCAAAGGGTATAACACTTTTTTACTTATATGGTTGGCAGGCTTGCTTTTCCTTTTTATTAATAGCTTCATAATTGTTCAGATTATCTCACATTATCAAAATGAAGCACAAGTTGCAAAAAAACTCAAACAGCATTAATAAACAGGCCAAAATCCACAAGCAGCCCTACTGTCCTCCATGAGGCTTTTCATACCACTAGCACTTTGTTTAGTATAAATGCGTGTACGTTGTACTAAAGTGTGTTGTATCTAAATGATAGCGTTTCAGGGCCATGAGGGCACTGATCGCCCCGAGCAGCCCCAGTCCCACTCTGAGCAGCGTCTGCAGGTGTACCTGTCTCCCGTGTGGACCTTGAAACTGCGTTTTGACCATCTCTCCAGCACTGTCTCCTGCTCCTCCTGACTGGACTCCCTGGAAGGACCCTGGACCAGTTCATCACTTGCCGTGTCTGGGGCTGTGGGTTGACTCAGTTGCCAGCACCCGTCTCCGCTTGGTGCCATCTGTAGACACAGCGTGACTGCGTCCTGGTCGGTGAGGATATGGCCTGTGCTGGGGTCACCCTCAGCTCCTGCTTGTGCCCCCATGGAACAGCCCCAGTCTTTTACTCCTTGGCACCCTTTTTCTCAATTGTTAATTTACTTTTTGACAGCTGTGGCCTCTGTCTAGGAAAACACAGAAGATTATAAAGGAATATTGGAGTTTGACAGTCTTGTACATTCCAGTAAGTGGGTGGGGTGTTTTGCAAGGGTTCAGCTAATGAATGAATATAAAAGGCAATCATTTAATATGTACAGCGGGATTTATTTTTTCTTTTCTTTTCACACTTACATTTTAGCTATGTAGTGTTTGTGGTCTGTACCTGGTCTTTCTTCAGGAAAAAAGTGGTTATTTCATACAAGTCATTAACTCCTTGGAACTTTTCATTTAGCTTAGAGTTCGGCTATACCTGCTCGTTTGGGTACTTATTTTTGCCTTTTCAGTGCTCTTTGAGTTTTTGAACAGATGTGTTCCACTTGCCATGGAGGAAGATTTTTCCTAATACCTGTCTTGGATCCCAGAGATGCGTAAGGCAAAAATATTTTTTCCTTGCTGCCACGATTTAGAAAAGAGGCCACTGCTTTAAGCTGCAGTTAATTAACAGTTATTGTGGATGTTAACGGTAGCAAGTGCAGTGAGTCAAAGTACAAAGCTAGAGTGGTACCTGTGTCACAAAAGCACTAGAGTTTATACCAAAAAGTAATTGCAAATGTAGTTTCTTGGTAGTTCAGTATCTCTGCTATTTAAAATAAATGAAAAAGAAAGTGAAAGGAGTTGAGGAAGTGGAGCAGTTGTCAGAAGAAAGGGAAAGTTTGAAAACAGGAAGCTCTACAGACTGTCAAAAGGAGGTATTTATTCCCAGATGAGATGTGAGAAGATGTGGAATTGAGTGTCGGGTGGTAGTGAGAGGAGTTCAGAGCTGTTTTGGAGTCAATACTTGCAACGTGCTATGAGAGGTCTGGTGTACGCACCCTTGACAGTGGAAATTGGCGTATTTTTTAATAAAATCTTGAGTTTAAATAGACATATGCCAAATTTAAGAATTTTCATATTTGCCTCAGCTTTTAGTTACATCTTACAGGAAAGTGAAATGCGTAGTCTGTAACGTGGAACAGAGCTTGAAGGCAAAATAACTTCAACCACTTGCTGGGATTCCAGTGTTGTTAGTGGGAAAGGATGTGGTCAGCAGGTTCGCCTTCCAGGCTCGCGCTTGCCATGCTGCCTCTCTGAATCCTGCAGTCTCCTGAAGCGGCCCCCTTCCCCAGGTCTGCAGTGGCTCCCAGCTGTCTGACCTACAGGGTTTTCTTTCCTGCTTGTAGTTCTGCCTCCTGAGGTTGAATTGCCGTGTTTTGATTTGTGAATTTCTCCCATTGCTTCTCGGCCCCCTTGAGGTAGTTACGTGAAAGGAGAGGAAGCCACTGAGCCCCAAGGCCCAGAGCCAACGGGCGCAATATCGGGAGGTGTGGTGATGTCCTTACACCGCTCTGGCCTGAGTCAGCCACCCTGGTGATGTGTTAGGAGGAAGGATGATTTCCCTGCTCAGAGCCGTGGAAGGCATTCTGGTTTCCCCCGCCGCTCTTCACTCACACTCGCCTTCACATTGGGAAGATCCTGCCAGCCTCTTCTTTGTGAATCCAGGAACTGGATGAGGCACTGGATATTTGACAAACTGTCCTGGTTTTTCAGGCAGGTGTTACAGATGTGGCTCTGATTTCCTTCCCCTGGCTTTGCCTGGGATGAAGGGAGAAAGGCTTCTAGCACCAGCTTGTCTACATCTTCCACAAGAGGTTTATCAGTCAGAAGACTGGTGGCACAAGCTGCTTTTACACACACAGTTTAATTTTACATTAATCACCAACACAGTTTGTACATGCTATGAGTGTGTGAAGAGAAAGTGTCCCGTGTGGTTTTATTTTCCAAGGTAGAGCTTGACATGCCCAGTTAGTGTTTCACCAGGAGACTGAAGAGGCTCTGCTGTGCCAGTAGCTCTGTTCACCCATCCCAACGTCCAGGTGATAGCTTGTTTACCCTTGCAACTCATATTCTGTTACCCATTATACGTTTTTACGTTGCAAATAGCATGTTTTCTTCCCCCAAAGCAATGTTTCGTTTCTCTTTAACAGACCCAAGTATGCTGTTTCCAGACCTTTCCACTTCCCTATTTTTTTCCCTCCTGATGGAAAAGAAAGCAAATGGAAGCCAAAAGGCATTTCCAGCTTCAAAACAATCTTTCCAAAAAAATGGCATTTTGAGTTACTGTGTTTATGACAGCAATGTGATGTTGCTTTATAGGTAAGAAGTAATTTCCTTATGACAAATACATTCTCAATTCATTAATAGCGAAATCATTTTGAGGAGTTCAGAAGGCAAGTTCTGCAGCAACAGGGACTGAAGAATACCTTCACTTTGCAGGTCAACACCAGCCTTTCAGCGATGATTTGAGAAAGTCGTGCATAAATAAGTTATAAAAAGGCTTTTATACAAACTTAGATTTACAGTCATCAATTTAATAATCCAGGATGAGTCCCTCTTTTTACAGTTGCTGTTTTGTAAGTAAGCTAGTTACCCAAATGTGTTTGGGATTCAGAAATAATTCAGTGACTCAAAATGCTGGATGGGATAAATGAACTGAGAGAGACAAACAGGAGAGAGATTTGAGAGTTCAGATCTTGCAAATCGCTCTAGATAGTTAAATGGAACTGAATAACTTTATTCACTGATAAAGAGCATTAAATCAAAATAATTGTAGCCGAGTGCAGAACAAGTTATAATTCGTGAACAAGTCATGGTGATTAATTTTAATGCCCTTAAAATTTACCAAATTCATTTCCTATGGAACATTTATTGCTTTTGATGGTGTTCAAATTCTTTTGCTTAAGAATTTTATGTCCATTTATCTTCTGAAGTGTCTGGATGCTGGCTTCAGAAGGAACTGAAGTGTCTGAATGCTAGCTTTCATTCCCTACAATGGGTTGCTAAATTATAATGCTGCCTACTTTTTTAAGGAAAAGGTTGAAGTGCCCAATGAAGCATCTCATTTGCACAAATTTTTTCACAGTGCACTGAACTCAGCCCTGAAGTGCAAAGTGCAGGATGTGACAGACAAAGTGGAAAGAAGAAAAGAAATACTAGGACAAGTAACATTTTTGCCTTGCTTTTTACACCGTAGCCTATAGTCCAAAGGCTCATGACGGGGTTCACAGGTGACTTTAGTCAAAGCTTCAGCATTTAACAATTATTTGCTTAAAATTTATAAATGGAATTACTCAAATAACAAGGTAAACAAAAATATAATAATAAATGTTTCGTTAAGTTTTATTATGAGCACGCTAAATTACCATCTCTGACACAATAACCATGTACTTGGTCCTTTTTAAGTAACTGCCCTGTCTGTGTTCCTGGCATTGTACTGACTCCTGTAACAGTAAAAGCAGCAATTATGTGCTCTAAACTGAGCTCATCAGTTGTCTTTTTAAAAGAAACCTTGAAGCTTTTATATTTAACAGCAAGGGGAAACTCCAACATTTCCCCTAAGGTTTTACAGAGAAAGCGAAAGTTAAAAGACAGTAAACTATGAGCAAATTGCTCCCTTTTTTAGCTGAGAAGAATGAGGCGTCTATTTTAAAAAGGCTGCAGAAACACATAGTGAACACATGGAACTCAAAAAGTATATTCTTCATCTGTTTCCCAAAGAGAGCTGCAGAACGTGTATCCTCATGATAGCAGCATTACGGAATAGGATTATCTTGAACCTGGGACAAACCCTTTACTCAGCCTGAAACCCACCACTCATGCAACATTCTTGCTTAAGGGTATATTTTTGGGCACCATATGCACAAACCTGAACATTTACCTGCACATACAGAAGCAAAAAGAAAAGTCCCAGTCAAGACACCTTTGAATAACATGATTTTCCAGAGCTGCCCTCTGCAAAACAGGTTTCTTAAATGTTTCTTACATTCAGCACTCAAAACTTCTAGCAACTCTAAAATTGAATCACATACATTTCGATGCATATGGAAAGTAAAAGCATACGCAGCAGGGGCCTTGAGTTGTAATGGACGTGTGCAAGAACCACCGAATTCTGACTGTGTTTGAAGGTGGACATTCCACCAGTGTCCTGATGTGCTTCATTACATCAGTCTGCACTGGTCACATTGTTTGTGTAGGAGCCTTGCTTCAGTCTTTATGATGAATGAGGTCAGAGACCTACATTTTGTATTAGTAAAAGTATCAGAAAGTTACAAATTTCTCTTGATGAAGCAGTACCACTGCTATTTTTAAAAAAAAAATAAAATGTTACATTACTTTTTTGTAAGGACCTTAATAAATCTATGCAGTCCATGCATTGTTTAAGCACTTTTAAGTCTCTTTTTGATTGGACGCTGTCCAGTATATACAAAGAAGACCAAAATTTGTCATTTTTTAATGGTGTAAGTCAATAGTATCTTGTTTCAGCAGAATTCCTCGTGACTCTCTGGCACGTGCTGAGTCAGGCATGGGCTTATGCAGAAACGAGAGGTTGCTTATTGGAGGCAATCTTTCCTAATGCGGAGATAGAGCTTTAGCTTCAGCCTCTTCTTATTCTTAGAGCTTAACTC